ATAATACATTTCTAGTAGTAGTTTAAATATTTAATTTCAGTATGCGTTCCTTTCAAAAAGGGAAAGACACCTTTTTCTCTCCATCTATCCATGTCAAATGATCCATTTTTGAATTATTTATTACTGAATTATTTGAATTATTATTATTATTATTATCATCATTTTTTTTCTAAAAAATGTGAAAGCAAGCTGATTGTTAAAATTAAATCCTTGTTTTTATCAAGATAATTAATATAAAAAAATGTTTTATTGAGATATATTTGTAATTTATATCTTTAAATCTTGATTCTGGACAGTTCATCAATGATTGCATATATTAAATATTAAAAGGTTTATTTTCTGTTACAGTAGTCTTTATTAAAGATTCCTAAATCAGTAATCTTTAGAATAAAATCTTCATCCATCTCCTCTCATAATGTAGTTCTTGAAACAGATCTATTAGAAAAGCAGAAAATAATACACAAAATAATAAAAAGGTAATTGTGTTTACATATAAACATACAGATGTATTATATTGAATCATGTTATTAACATTTACACATTTTTCCTAATACATTAAAACTATATACTACTTTATTATAATAAATAGTGTTAAAGCAGGGTATCTTGAGTCCAAGATTTTAATCATCTGACCTGTTTATCAATTTTAGGTAGATTATCTAAATAAATAGTTGCTTGCCTAAAATATTTTATACTTTTTTTTATTTGATACACAACATTCGTCTCCATATGAACTTTCCCATTAGTTATAATTAGCAGGTATTTTGCTGGTTGATGTGCTCTTTACACTTCAAACTATACTGAAATGACTCCTTGTAAATAAATAAATGATGTTAAATTAATGCTATTCTTTTAATAAATCACACTGATCCAACATACAAATGAATGTAGGCTGAGATTAAATATCTCTGAGCACTGATGAATCCTTTCTCTGATGATTTCACCAACATATGCACTTTTAATGGCTGATTGTTTATTTCTCTTCAGAATCGCCTGTGTGATTTACAGTGGTTTTCTTAAACTCATCAGAGCCAGAACCGGAAAGATCATTCAATAACAACGACATTCATTTAGAGTTACAACAATCACCAACAGCCTTAAGAGCTCTGTGGTCAAACACTGGGCATCTTATTTTAAATTATTATTATTATTAACTAACACATCATCTTCTTAGTCTAGGTTAAAAAGAGTATATATAGAGAGCTGAAGTTAAGAGAGCTGAAATTCACTCTCCTACAGCCAAGAACAGAAAGCAGTGGACAAAGTGAAAGCAAACTGATTTATTGAATGGATATAGTTTTGTGTCTGTTGGCATTGAACAGGTGTTTTAACAGGCGTTAAGATGGAGAATCAGCATTCTGACAGTGTCTGGAGTCTGTAGATGGAAACATCTCATCATCTCTCAGATGGATTTATGGAGACGATAACAGAGAAATACTCACAAACACAAATCAATGAGACACTACAGAGCCTTTACACAACACAACATTACACACTGAAAACCCTAACCCAAACAGAGAAAGACTGAATTAAAAAAGACATCACATGCACTGTAATTATTCTAAATTTAAAGATAAATTTACTCTTATCAGATTAAAATGTTTTGTGATGGCCTTCATATCTTGAACAGCAAATCTAACAGCAAATGTATTAATGCATTCACAGAGCTTCTCATATATAAACTCTTCATATCTTTCATTAACTGTCAGGGTTCTGTCACTTCAGTCTAGTGTAATTCATGGTTTTGTGACAGAGTCCTGACACTCACGTCATGTCATTGTTTTCATGTGAGCGTGCGGCTTCGAGAGTGCTCGAGCCGTGCGCTCTCATGTACTGTTTCATGTTGGAGCGTGGTGTTCAGATCCCGGCACTCATGCCTTGAGTTTCGGTTTCGTGTCGGGGTCCGGACACTCGCGCTCCATGTTCTGTATGGTTGTGGGAGCATACGGTCTCGAGTTCGCTCGGCCGTGCGCTCTTCTGTCTGTCCATGTGTGTTGTGTTTTGTGTAGCACGTGGTTTGTGTTCAGCCGCGTGCTTTTCTTGTTGTCTTGTGTGAACACGCGGCTTATGAGTTTTCTCATTAGCTGCGTGTTCTGTCTTTTTGTTCAAGCACATGGCTTGTGATTGTTTTGCTGGCCATGTGCTTGTGTTTTGTTTTGTGTGAGCACATGGCTTTTGTCTTTGTTTCCTGTGTGCCATGTGCTCTCATGTCAATTGTCTTGACCCCACCCATCTTGTTACCTGATTATTGGTTAATTTGCCTCACATGTGTTCCCTCGTTACCCTCCTCATGTGCTCTCCATTTATTCTACTTGTGTTTACAGTCCCATGCGAGTTCGTCTTCATATCTCCCTGGATGTGTCGTGTCGTGTCCAGATCCTGCCTTGCCAGCCTGTTTTTCCCCCACGGGGTAGTTTTTGTTGTTTGTTTGTTTTGTTTTGTTTTGTTTTGTTTTATTTTATTAATAAAAGGCCATTGCTGCACTATTGAGTCCTCGCCTCATCCCTTCATCCCCAACCCTGACATTAACAAGATCACATCACTTAGAAGAAAAAAGTGAAACTCTTTCCTCACTAATGTTCAGTTCTATTTTCATTTTATCAGCCTGTTCTTTTCCAAAGTTCTCAAACTCATCTAATGTCATTTCATCACTGGGAAATTCAATTTTAACTTTGTAGAGAAGAGATGAAGTTCCTACTTTTTTCATCTGTTATTTTCTTAATTTCTGTTGTGATATAGTTTTTGATAATTTAACTGTTGTTTTTTAATGTCTCATCATCGCCTCCTTTTAAATATTTAAATTTAGATCTACAGTGTTTTTCGTTAACTTTATTCTTCAATCTTGATAATCTATGTTTAATTAAAGTATCTTGTTCATGGCACAGTTTCTTGAGTTTATCTACTGTCTTAGTATTATTCCCTGTTGCACCATAAATGTCCTGGAAGGTAATATAAACCTTTATTTTATGATGATAAAACATTTCTTCAGAGAAACAAGCTAGCTGGATCATACAAGGATCATTACACAAATTAATAATCTCCATGTTGCCATATTCATCTCGGCTTATCCACGGCCACGGCTCCAACAACCTGACAAAATATACAGAGTGAAAACAAACATATAAACACACCAATGACTGTAGGTGAGCTCATTCACTTAACACAGTTAATAACTGTACAGAGCCCATGGGATTTCACATTCATGTTGTACATCTAATAGTTCCAGGTTAAGCTATTCGTTTGCTGATCAGGTTCTTTCTTCCTTTAAACTCACATAATCAGGCTGAACATATTGTGTAATTGTTTATGTAACTATACTATATATTCCTCTATCAGTGGTTTACCTTCGCCCCCCACATTTATTTTACTCTAATACACCATCAACTGATAACATTTGACTTAATGAATTGAGCTGAATTGAGCTGAACTTAATAAAATGAGCTGAATTCTGAATAGAGCACTACTCTTACTACTTGTAAAACAGTGAAGACTTTGGATGCTTTCTTGGTCAGACATGTTGCTCCAGATGCGTTGTCACACTTGAATAATGGTACAGATGCTACCATGCTACAGCTTTTTTTTTTCTTTAAATGAAGAAAGCCCAAACAAATATGTCCATTTCAAATCAAAAAGTTGAGTTTTGAAAGAGCTTCAAATGAAAGTGCAACAAAGTATGTTAAAAAAAAAGTCACAGAACATCCTGAATTTAAAGCAGTGAAGGTGAACGGAGTCTGTGTATCGTGTACCATCTTACCTTCTGAATCCAAGTAACAATTTATTAATCTATAACAGAAAAAACAAACCAGTATCAACTGTTAGCATGATTTTTTAAAGTAATGCAAACCTCAAACATAGTAGAAACGAGCATTAATCATTATTATGGTATTTAAAATGTAGAAGTAATACAATCCTAAACTCATTTAAGCTCACCATGGCTCTTCCCTCAGAAATCCCTGGGACAGGAGGACCCAAGAGACTCTGAAAGACACGTCCAGTTAGATGGAGGTGTTCTGTATGCCGGCCTACAGTACAGTTCTCAGCCAATGGACTCTTACAGTCTGTCAGATTTATCGTGTTAGTCCTCCTGCCCCAGCACTTGAAGTTAGATTTTTGGATCTTTTCTTCCTTAAAGGCGGCAGTTTGGTGGATCATGTGTTTGTGGCAAAGCTGGTAAATGACTGCTCATTTATAGTCTGATTTGGCCCATCCCTTTAAGGTGTGGCATTTCGGTTTAATTAATGAAGACAGAAAATCATACACCTGCCAAGGGTATAAGAAAAATCTGACGTGTTAAATGTGTCATTGATTTCACAATCCTGATCAGCACAAATTGTATCTGCTCTATTCAAAGTCCAGCTAACTTTCTTCTGAACACAAACCTATGAAACAACATATCCAAACTGAAACATAACATCCAGTGATGTCGTTAATATGTCATCTAACACACCAATAAGTGAGCCGTCCCACTGTTTGGAAGATTGCATGTGAAATATTTTTAAATTTAAAAACTTTAATGTTAGGTGGGATTAATCGCGATTAATTTCAATAAGAATGTGCAATGAATTAGGTTTTTTTTATCGATTGACAGCACTGTTAAAAATATAATAAGCAGTCCTAGCTAAGAATCACAATTGGGCAAAAGCCACATGTTCTCTACAAATCTGATGCTGGATGAAAAATCTGATTCATTGAACACTTTCTTTATTAAAAAAAAAAAGGCTTTGTCCATTTCAAAGCATTAAACACTTCAATCAGTGAAAGGTGACATCTGATACTGGGCCTCTCTCTAAAATTATTTTACAAATGCAATCTCACACACAAGGGTAACACTTTAGTTTAGGGAACAGTTCTCACTATTAACTAGTTGCTTATTAGCATGCATATTACTAGTGTATTGGCTGTATAACGTTGCAGAATCGAGAGAAGGCAGGCAGAGCTGTAGATCTAAGCACAGGAGTTTAATCAAAGCTCAGGAACAATGTCTCAGGTTACGCATGTAACCATGGTTCCCTGAGAATAGGGAACGAGACGCTGCGTCCTCTAAAGGGCGCTAGGGGAACGCCTTCAGCGTGACCGGTGTCTGAAGCATGAATGAAAAAACGACAATGAACTTGACATTGGCAGGCGGCAGCCTATGACGTAAACAATAAAGCAACTGCGGGTATAAAAGGGCACCTGCGGAATACGTCATCAACTTTGTCTGAAGGAGATGCAGGCAGGAATGCTCGAAGCATGGCAATGGGACGCAGCGTCTCGTTCCCTATTCTCAGGGAACCATGGTTACATGCGTAACCTGAGACGTTCCCTTTCGAAAGGGAACTCCACGCTGCTTCCTCTAGAGGGCGCTAGCGGAACGGTATACCAACATCGCCATGCTGAGGGATGAGTGCCCAAATAACTGGATTCCCTAAGTCAAAGACTCAAGGAACATCATCCATGCCCCAGCGAAATCGCTTTGGTCAGAACCCGAACTACAAATCTCCACAGGCAGGCTCAAAGCTCGCCAACGTCATAGACTAGCTCACCCACCAAAGTATGGAACTCTAAGAGTGGAGGTCTCAGCATAACAACTCTCTAGAATGAGAGGAGACCTGGCTACACTCAATGCCAGAGGCAGTTAGCAAGGCTCACAATAGAGCATACATACTAATAGTACTGCCTAAGCGGAGCTCTGCAGAGCGGAGGCTTCAACAGAATGACTCTCTTTAACGAGAGGAAGCCTAACAACGCTCAACCCTCGTAAGGGAACTCTTAAGAGTGGAGGTCTCAGCATAACGACTCTCAAAGCGAGAGGAGACCTGACTACACTCAATGCTAGACACAGTAAGTGAGGCTCAAAGAAGGAGAGCCTACCTAACATAAGTACTGCTTAAGCGGAGCTCTGCAGAGCGGATGCTTCAACAGAATGACTCTAAAACGAGAGGAAGCCCAACAACGCTCAACCCTGAAAGGGGAACTCTTAAGAGTAGAGGTCTAAGCATAACGACTCCCTAAAGCGAGAGGAGACCTAGCTACACTCAACACCAGAGGCAGTTAGTGAGGCTCCAAAAAACAGAGCCTACAAACTCATATTACTGCCAAAGATGGAGTTCTGAAGAGTGGAGGCTTCAGCAGTAAGACTCTCTTAAACGAGAGGAAGCCTAACAACAGTCAACCATAGTTGAGGAGCTCTTAAGTGTGGAGGTCTTAGCATGACGACTCTCTAGATCGAGAGGAGACCTGACTACACTCAGCGCTAGAGACAGTTAGTGAGGCTCACAAAAGAACCTACATACTAATAGTACTGCCTAAGCAGAGCTCTGGAGAGCGGAGGCTTCAGCTGAATGACTCTCTTAAACGAGAGGAAACCAAACAACACTCAATCCTAGTTCAGGAGCTCTTTAGAGTGGAGGTCTCAGCATAACAATTCTCAAACCAAGAGGAGACCTGACTACACTCAACGCTATACACAGTAAGTGAGGCTCAAAGAACGAGAGCCTACGTAACATAAGTACTGCTTAAGCAGAGCTCTGGAGAGCAGAGGCTTCAGCAGAATGACTCTCTTAAACGAGTGGAAGCCTAGCAACACTCGATCCTGGTAGGGGACCTCTTAAGAGTGGAGGTCTCAACATAATGACTCTCTAAAGCGAGAGGAGACCTAGCTACACTCAACGCCAGAGGCAGTTAGCGAGGCTCAAAAAGTAAGAGCCTACAAACTCATATTACTGCCTAAGCGGAGCTCTAGAGAGCAGAGGCTTCAGCAGAATGACTCTCTTAAACGAGAGGAAGCCTAACAACACTCAATCCTGGTAGGGGAACTCTTAAGAGTGGAGGTCTCAGCATAACTCTCTAGAATGAGAGGAGACCTGGCTACAGTCAACGCCAGAGGCAGTTAGTGAGGCTCAAGAAAGAGCCTACATATTAATATTGCCTAAGCGGAGCTCTGCAGAGTGGAGGCTTCAGCAGAATGACTCTCTTAAACGAGGCAGAAGGACTCTCTTAAATGAGAGGAAGCCTAAAACACTCAGCCCTAGTTGAGGAGCTCTCAAGAGTGGAGGTCTCAGCATAACGATTCTCTAAAACGAGAGAAGACCTGACTACACTCAATGCTAGAGACAGTTAGCAAGGCTCACAATAGAGCCTAAAAATACTGCCTAAGCGGAGCTCTATAGAGCGGAGGCTTTCAGCAGAATGACTCTCTTAAACGAGAGGAAGCCTAACAACACTCA